AATAATCATTTTGTCGCTAAAGATTCAAGGCAATTTACCTCCACTGAATCTGTAGTCTTGCTTCAATACTTTTCAACACCATGGACTTGATACCATTCATTAGTTTAGCAAACTCTTCCGTGACTACTCCAAGCTTCTGAGCTTCACTGGAATCTCTTGCTGACATATAAATGATCTGAGATTCTGGATCCAGAGAGGGCCAACACTGTGTGAGTTTCGTCACGATATAGTTCTTCACTTGATCAGTTTCTTTTGGCGGCACCTGGTCCCACTTGTTGCAAACGAATAGGGCACAATTTGAGGAAGATTCCCTTCCTTTGTCAAGAGATACCTTTCTGGCGTGTTCGATAAGTTTTCCCAACTGAAGATAAAGAGACAAATTTAGCTATTTGTCGACTTTTTTCGGCTAGTTCAGTAGTTGCCTTTTTTGTGACGTTATGCCTTACGTTATCGCTCTCCAGGAGCAACTCGCGTTCGTTAGGTTCCTTCTTCTAGCACGTTTGACGAAAAGTTTTTAACAGTTAAGTTACTCTTACACATGTTAAAAAGAGAGGTTTCAAAAAATGATACGATTTTTGTAGCAAATTTTTCCTTTAATTATTTATGTAAAGAGAATGCATTTCGCACCTTAAAGTGCCTTACCCTATCTCGCTGTATTCCTCCGGCGTTTCCGCTGTTGATGACGTAAATAAATGCGAAAGCCTCTGGAAGGTACTCCTTTACTATGTTATCCATGATGGTAGATTCGCCAATTCCTGGACTGTCGACTATAACGATATTTTCCTAAAAGACACATAAAATATGAGATGTAACAAGCAACATATTAAATACAAAAGCAATCTTTGCTTTCATTTCATGTCTTAATCCGCAGATCACATACATTATTTTCATATATTCACAGTCATTGAGGCAAAACATTGTCCTTGGGGATCGCTCTCTAGAGTGCGTTTCGATTGTTTTTCATCAGACCAAACTCAAAGTAATCACACAGGTCAATCAGAGCTAAGGAAAACATCACACAATACAATGAGAACCCAAAAAAAAAAAAAAAAAAAAAAGCGACCAACTACGTCCGATAGTTACTGAGTTTGCTAATGTCTAACCTTCAACAGATTATGTGGCCAAAACAACTCAATCTTTTCGTAATCTGAACCCTTTTCTCTGTCCGTCTTTTGGTGGACGAATTTGGAAATCTGTTGAAGGTAACTCTGCTTGGAGGCTTCGGATGGCTTGTCTAAGAAGACAGTCGGTGAGGTATCCCCTGATCCTTTGTCTTTAAAGTGCGCCACCAGCTTTGGTGTATCTCCATATCTTAGTTCACAGATAGTTGATGTGGAACTCAGAAGGGAGTAAGGAAGAAGCTCCTCTCCAAGGATAAGATTTAATAAAGTGCTCTTTCCTGAACTTGTTTCGCCTAATAAGTATAAACAGGTGAAAATAAGGAGGGAAGAAAGACAAAAAAAATGTTAAGAAAGGTTCGATTCCACTTAAGTTGCGTCGAACAAGAGAATCTGCTTCCCCCGTCGTCTCCACCAGAAATCCCAAACAAAACACCGTTTCCCTTCTTCTTCTTATTCGTTTTCATACAAAACTATTCCTTCTGCTGTCCGCCACTGAGTTCGAGGCTGGCCATATGATGTGCCACGCTCAAAAGACAGACTTCCGTTAGAGGGACTATCAATAAATTCTGGTTAGTCGGGACCAGCAGATTCCCTCTTTGTTCACTCATATTTCTTACTGTATTCTATTTATTTATTAACCAGGCTAACCAAGCTCAGCTGCAACCTGGTTTGAATGAAGGGTGGGGTTGGGATGTTTGGGAAAAATTGTGAGATAAAAGGACAGGTCACTGGAGACCCTTTTGACATGCAAGAACCAAACAGCAAATTGGATAATTGAAAAATGTTGAATAAACGAATGAGTGATCTTTATTCCATCAATAAAAGTTGTATAATTTAAACGATGTGAGATTCAGGGTTCCTGTAGAATTAAAAAAGTACTCGTATGACTGGCAAGTTTGATTAGAAGATATTAGCGATAAAGTTCCCTCTGTTGATATAACTTAAGGAAGTATATTCAACGTAAGAATAATTAACGGAGGATAAAATATACTGAGTGTAATTCGCTCTAAGATATATATATAGTTTTATTGTACTCCATGGCTCGATCATTAGCCTACTAATTAGTTAAGGTTGGATTGGTATAATAACTGAATGAGGCTTTCTTTCCTTTTCCAGTCTTGGATTTAACCCTTTAACTCCTATGAGTGACTAAGACAGAATTTCTCCTTACAATATCAATACAATATCAAGCAGACAAGGGATGAGAATAAAGAAAAATATCACATAGGGGATTATAAGTTGATCCAATACCAAATTCTCCCAACTAACATCGCAAGACCTGTATGGCAGACAGTAAGGAGAATTACTAATTAGATCTTGGGAGTTAAAGGATTAAGTCTATTGGGTGAGGAAGTTGGCGAAACTAAAATTTCAAAGCAATGGCGGTCAAATTGTTCATTTATAACAAACCTGCAACAAGAACAATGTACTCTTTTTTCAGCAGATTTTGTTTGTGGGAAGCTATTTTTTCCTTGAGGTTCCTGATGTTCTGTTCCAAAAGGGTTTGAACTTTTTCATCCATTCTGCCCAAGCAAACTTCCGTGCGTTCATAGAACTTGAGCAAGGTTGCTCGTTTCTTTTCGTCTTCTTTCTTTGCCTCTGTCAACACTGAAAAGGCCTGAAAAATTACAGGGTACAGGATGAAACAAATGCTGTGCGTCAACAGTCACCTGTGTAAATTAAGGATTACTTTTCGGCCTAATTGGTCGATTTAACCGTTTTACAGTCATTTTTAAAAAAAACCTTGTTACTTATAACATCACTTTTACATTCACATCGCTGTTCTGCGCGCAGCTTAATTTAAGAAGTAGATTGATTAGTAGCACGCTTGTCACGCGCCCCTGGAAAAATCACTGATTTGCTAGAATCTTTTAAGAATTTCTCGGCGCACAACGATCAGATCTGATTGAGACTTTCCAAAACTGCGACACATTTGTTGGAGACGGTTTTGGACTAAACAGAGGTAGAATAAAGTGCCTTTGAAAACATTAAATCGGAACCGAACTGTGAAGTTAGGGACAAAAACATCGCGTCGCGCGGAACACGCGTTAGCCTCACTATTCACTGTCTTTTGCCAACTTAAGTTTCGTTTATGACCGTAAGACTTAACAGATGGTGAAAATGACTCCTTTTAAGCAAACTGGTAGACAAAATCCTGAAAATTGGAGCTAAATCGTTCCTAAAATCAACGAAAGTGTTCACCATATCAGGCGTCACGCTTTACAGCCTGGGTGAGACAGATCGTTTTCAATTCATTGTGCGAGTCATAATTCCTAAACTAAAGAACAATGTAACCTCAAAATGTAATGCTCATAAGTTGCTTTGCACTTCCCTTCCGTTTTTTGTGTTTTTATTGGAACGTTGTCGAGATTTTAATTTTTTTTGGCGTTCTAAACAGTTGGCAAACGGTATGATCTGCCGCGCGATCATACGGGTCATTGAATTTCTTAATCGTATTGTTTACGATGAGTGCACTGGAGCAACGCTTAAATGACCAGCTAAATTTTGATACCAAAATCGATCGAATCCGTGAAAAGCCGACGAAGATATTGGCAATAAATTTTGTCCTAAACATAAGGTCGACAATTTTGATTCCGAGGAAGGTAAGCGATCGAATTTCAAGCAAAAACAAGCGCGACGCTCGGGCCATTTTGACGGATTCTTTTACTTCCAAATCATCCTAAAGTCTACAGAATCAATAAGCACTGGAAAATACAAATAGCGAGGAGCGAATACTACGAGTATTTCGTAAATTTTCGGCTAGCCGAATAGGGTACGTTGTTTTGCGCCAAGTAATAGCTAATAAACAAACACCTCCTAAATAGAACAATAGGTGCAAAGCCAGGGGAGTTCAACAAGTCCCAGCATATTACAGCCAATTGTGCCCTGCTTCATGCCAAATTACATCACGTAGCTTCACGTTATCCATGATTACTTATGTAAATATGCATGTATTATGCGAACAAAGCAAATTTTTATGTTCAGCCGAAGCAGCAAGGGACTCCAACTCTTCGCAGAGAGTAACGAATGATAGAAAAAAATCTGTGGCTCTCCTTGACCGTAGAAGAACATCAAGTCACTCCGGGCTAAGTCCGTGGTCGTTTATGTTACAGAAATTATGCAAGCATTTCTAAGAAAATAAAGAAATGCAAACCTGATAAAATCACCAACATCTTCCCAAATATTTGGCGGGTGAATGCATGCTACTATTTCTGTTCGTGGGAATAAGGTTTCTTCTTGTACTACTCATTTCTAAGATGCCATCATTGAATAGATCGCCATGGCATAAAATTGCAAACGATGGCTAACGTAGAATCAAGAGAGCTGTTAGACAATTCGTTACTGAATTTCACGATATGGTCTGCATCTACCAATTATTAAGGGTCACATCTAGATACTTCCACCATTGTACCGAAAATGTCGTTTATATATTGAGTTTGCTGGTTTTCCATATTTTAAAAAGATATTGTAGGGTTCTCACCTCCTTTGCCGTCCAACTTGACTTCTTCTCTGACGACCGGAGTGTCTCTTTCACTTTTGCTTTCATTTCGTCCAACGTTTTCAGCCCTTCGGGCGGAATTTTTAGTGACACCAATGTGTTTACCATCTCCACGATGTTTTCGATCTTGTCGATCTTGTCGATGTTTGGTGATGCACTCATGTCGCCTGTGTCTGGGTCTACGAAGTTTAGGCTGTGGTTCACTGTGAGATGATTGTAGCCCTCGCCCTGTAGGCAATCATAAGCTTTCCACATGTCGCTCATCACGCATGTTCCCGGCAATATTTGATTGCATGTAATGGGTATGAGTGTACCTTTATCCCTGCGCTCTACCAGTACAAGGTAGCAGGCCTTGGTTTCACGGTAAATGCCACCAAAGACCCACTTTCCTTCGACGTAGCGACCGCGGTGATACTTCATCTTGCCAGACTTGGACTAATCAATCTCAGAAGTACTACCACGTCCACCTATTGGCCTCTTATGATGTTGCATTATTCTTTCGGCACGAACCTCACGGCAGTAGTGATACCAATCTACCACCGTTTCTGTGGAATTTTGTTCGTCGCCCAGTGAGGTTTCATGCACTGCTTGTGAAGTAGTAAAATTATTTGCCCAAGCGTATGTTAGGGCTAATATTTTTTCAATGGAAAGCTTACTACCAGAAAACCAAGAATTCTGGCGTATTGATGCCATTCCATTGCAATTTTCTTAGAGCATCGCCATTCGTACCCGTCTCGCAATGAACTTCGTCGAGTCCAACGTAGTGCATTGCAGCATGTACTCTTAGGGCATGGAAACGACGACGCGAGCAGGTTGTGATCCTTGCACCACTGTATGCACCTGTCGTGGTCCAATAATATTTTTATTAATTTAAAAGGGTTCATTTCACAAGGAGGTGGAAAAGACGACGACGACGAAGCAGCAGGCGACAAAGACGTGATACGATGACAAAGAAACAAACACGTACGAACGGACGAAGGACCAACAGCAGAAGAAATATGAAGAACGATTCAAAAACGGGAGATGAGAAAACAAGATAAATTGAGGAAAATAAACTTATGAAGATTACGAAGATTACGAAAAGATAATTTTTTAAGAAGCCACTGATTAGAAATGAAATTTATTAGAAAGGCTGCACTTTTATATTTCGATTAAACAATGATTAACATTTCATTTCTTCGTGCAAAATCCAACATGTTTTAAAAGTGAGGAAAATGATTTCAATGTTAATTTTTGGAATTTTAATAAGGTATTAGAAATATAATTTTGAAAGTTATCATTTATAGGCAACAAGCACATGTTGAGACACACGAAGAAGATAGAGGATTGAGAGTTCGAACTCTACAGGTAATTAAAAAAAATATATAAAAAATAGACTGAGAGGGGCCTTGGAGGAAGGACAGACAGTAGGAAGTGCCTGCCAGAGAAATGGGGAAGAGAAAGAGGGAAAATGGGAGAGAATGAGAGAGAGGGAAAAACAACGCAGAAAAACGCCGTGAAAATAATTCCACTTTTATTAATGTAGTATTAATAAGTGGAGGTGCGGTGGCCTCGTGGTTAGTGCACTCGACTCCGGATCGGGTGGTCCGGGTTTGAGCCCTGGCGGGGGTCACTGTGTTGTGTTCTTAGGCAAGATACTTTACTCTCACAGTGCTTCTCTTCACTCAGGTGTGCCAATGGGTACCAGCAAATGTGCTGGGGGTAACCCTGCGATGGACTAGCATCCCATCCAGGGGGGAGTGGCAATACTCCTAGCCGCTTCATGCTAAGAAAACCGGAGTTAAGCACCGACCCCATGGGCCACTTGGGCCCGTATAAAGGCTTTATTTTTTATTTTTAAGTAATAATTAGAGATGTATATATTCAATTACCAAGGGAATTGTCTATTGTATTCAAAGACAAAGAGTAGAATGCATAATTAATAAGATGTGCATGCACAGTGAAGTAAGGGGGTTGTGCGGAAATTTTTCTTACAGTTGTTCCTTAACGTTTCAACGAATTAAAAAAAGGAAAGTCATTTTCAACTCGTGTTTGAACCTGTAATTTTTTAAAACTTTTCCTCTTTTGGCTATTATTCTTCAATGATTGTCCTCTGGCTGGAAACACACTGCGTCTTTTTGAGATTTTCGGTTATTTGATTCGGTGACCTCTGCTGTGACTACTTATAATGTAGGTGTCTTCAAGCCAGCTGCCCATGATCTAAGCAACTCTAGCTAATAAAATACCACAGGACGAAATTGCAAGAATCCGTAAACGTAAACGTGGCAGAAACATGTTAAACCGTTCTGGAAACACGATGGATAACCTGTGTTTCCGTTACCGGTTTCGTGACGTTTTCTCGCGTTTCCGTTGCTGCGTATACAACGGAACCGGACCACTTTTTGTACATGTTAAACATAACGGAAACATGGAGTTGCATGTTTCCGCCACGTTTCAGAAATACGAAAACATGTGATTTCGTCCTGTGTACGAAATTTGTCTGGCATGTGTCTTGCGCTACAAAAGTTTGGTTTAAAAGGAGACAAGCTAGAACTAAAATGTCATAATTAAAACTTGATGACGAAGAGAGAATTAGGATTCGATCATAAAAACATTTGTGGAAAACTTGAGATAATACCTGGATTTCATTTTTACATCACAACGATGAATTTCAAACATCAATCAAGTTTCCTCTTTGGTTGCAAAGTTGAGTTGATGTGGTTATTGGCTTTATTAAATGGGTTGAAATGTTTTAGATTGTATTTTCTCATGTTTGCAAATAGTTGAATTTACTGGAAGGTAGTATTGTTGCAACATGTTAACATGAAACACAATAATAAATTTTATTGGTATGTGAAACTTTTCATTTGACTATCTGCTAGCAAGTCGTTGTATTATAATTAAATAATTATATTATAAAATTAAAATAATTAGTTAGGGAAACATACACCATGTTTGAAATGTCATGTCCATAGTGAGTGAACCGGATTGAGTAGGGTGTATGTGGGAATAGACTCTCTTGTCCGTATCATTAATTTGCTAATCGCTCCTGTTGCCAATGTTTTGATGAGGGTGGGCTGTCAAGGTAAAGGAACTGACGATTTTAGTAGGTAGTGACTTTTTCAAACCTGGAAACTATC